CCCCAAAACCCCAAAACCCCAAAACCCCATGTCTAAAATATTAATAAAAATTTTGTGATCATTATAATTAAAAATCAAACATATATTAATAATTTATACTCCTCATCAAAGTCTTTAAGTTTGGCTACTTCTATTTCCAGTTCTGTAAATTTAAAATATCCTAATGGCCAAACTATCAACACTTTATCTCTATTTAAACAAAAGCATCCAGCCTTTCTCATCTGATTTTTCTTTCTTTTCAATCTTAGGGCAACAAAAGCATAAATCAAAGTGTCTACTACAAATATCTAGAAGATAAAGGTAAAGAGGGTGCATGAGAACCAATTTTAGAATTGATTCTCTTAAAGGCTATCTAGCATTTGAATATGGATCACTATCAAGCCAATCAAAACGATTATAACCAATAGTAATCCAGAAACCTTTCTGCAAGGCGAAACAGGCTCTTTTTAAAGTTATCTAAAGTTATCAAATATTCCTTCAAGTGATGGGGTAGATTCATCAATATTAGACTAATTTTCTATATCATCTCCTATCTCTTCGTTATCATCTAAGCTCCTTTAGTGATTTTTCCTAGGCTTCTTTGATTGCTAGTCAGCATTTCTTCTTCTCTTTTTAGGTTTTTTGGCTTTAACAAGATTACTATTATTATTGTTAAAACTATTTGTGACATTGCTAGTTTATTTTTCTTCTTCTAGATTATCATCTATAATCTCGATACTATTATCTTGATCAACTTCTCCTCCTTCATATTACTACTTATCCATGTAATCTTCATCTAAAATCACATTGATTTCCTCGTCCTATTAATCTTGAATCTTATTTTATTTCTCATGGTCAATAATTATGATGTCTTCACTCGAACTATGATTCCCATTTATTTGATCTTACTCTATTTGTGGGAAGTTCACATCTCTAATAGAGTTGTTATTATCATGCTATGGAGAAAACGTCTCTATTTGATTCATCTCATTTAAATAGTTTTCCTGCAAATGAGACTCTTGCGAGCCCTTTTAGCTATTCTATTGTGTTTTAGGCTTGAAATCTTGTAATTCTATATCTCCACCACTACTTTTTAAAGACTGCTTTTAGGAATCTTTTCTCTTAATATTTTTATTATTTTTCTTAAGCTCTTAGCTCTATGTCGTAGTCTTTACTTGAGTTTTATTCCTTCTATAGTTAATAATTTCATCGCCTTTTACCTCATCATCTGAATTTGCATTTTTTTCTAATCTAACTATAGCACTGCTATAATCTTCCCCAATCATTCTATTCATTGAATTTTCTAATCTTATTGAGTTGTCCTCATTTCTAGACTTCCTTTTCTATTTCCCATTAAAATCAGCATCTTCTTGGTCGTCATCTCCGATCATTCTTCTTTTCTCAGAAGCTAAATTAGTCTCATATCTCCAATTTTTTAGAGTTTATGGATAAAACAGGGAGAAGTACATTCTTTACAGCAATGGCCTAAATAACGTAATACATATTATCATTATGAAACTGTACTAGAAGATGTCTCTAATCTAAATTCTATCTTTCCTTTATTCAAAAATAGCTATTGAGATAGCTGATATTCCTAAAAAGTAGCACTATATAAACATTAATCTAAGGGGTCTGCTCAAATAGTGATTTGGCTTTATAATATAGTTAAAGAAGGGGTTAAAGAGTAAAATCATGCTTCCTAATAATCTCAAGTATGAATGCTTCTAAATATTTTCAATAAATGATAACTTGTTATAAAATCTTTTTGGCCTTTTTTAATCAAAGTTATTCATTAATGCACCAGCTACAATCATAATTAGTGTGAAAAAGAAGAATATTGCTGGAACGACATAGTTAAGGATTGGAAGTGTTTAGAAGATTGAAATTTTATCTCTTCTCTATTCCCTTTTATCAATATCTGCTGGTAAAATTTATAGAGGCAGATACACCACATCAAAGACACTTAAATGAGAACTATTGCAAGCAACAATTCCATTCTAAAATTTTCTAAAATCCATAGTCACATCTGTATTATTCAAATTAAAAGAGATTTCATCATCACTTTTCGATACGCATTTCAAAAGATTATGTGATGTATCTATTTGATTAGTAGTCTCCAAATATTTCAATAAAGAGTTTTGCAAAGGAAATTCAATAGATATCCCAGAAATATCTCTAACCTCTATTTTCTCTAAATATCTATCGAGTAGATTAATCTTTAATTGTGTTCTAGATACTTATTAAGATATATTTTGATTCTCGAAACTAGACAATTCAGCATTCTTTCTAAAGCCAGATAAAACGAATTGCGCCTCGTTATAAGATGCCAATTCATATATTGTATATGTTGTTAAATCACTGACTATTGGAGATTTTTAAGTCAAAGGAGAAAGACTCACAATGTCTAGTTATTTAATTCTATACAAAGTAAGTTTACTAGACTGATCCATAGGATCATCAAATATTAATGTCTCTCCTTAAACAAGATTTGATGTTACTATTTAATAGAATATACGCTCAAGTCCAAGCTTTTAATCAGCATCATTCCATATTTTCTAGATTAAATTGGCAACACTTCTCGCATATCCATTTACAATTTCAGAAGTAGTCATTGAATCTTGGATCTTTATCAAATTATCTTCATGTAAGAAATTCTCAAAAATCATTTACTTAAGCATCGGCAATTCACTATTAGTAGAATTTATCATTTAACCATATGCAATACTAGATATCTTTAGTAATAGGGATTTGAGTAGAAGTCTTTCGTTATCATCAAAATAGTTGTAAACAAGCTTTTATGTTATTAGTAAGATTCTGGAAATTAGCACATCATAATATTATGTTTAAAGTCCAATGTTAACGTTAGAGATTGCTATAGCCAATCCATAATAGGTATTTAATTGAATTTCAATCTAAGCTAAATCACTATAATCATATATCTGTATTTCTCTAGCAAGTTAAGGGATTACTAGTTAATTAAAGGCCTACAATGTCAAGACACTGAATTCGCTTATCTCTACATTTACATTCATAGTGTAGATGCTATAGTTATTACTTGATGTCTTTTATCCATTAATCAAGTCAACATATACTTTCGATGTATATTTTGGGAAATTTACCAAGTAAGTATAGTTTTATGCTTTATGTAAAATAACTTGAGAAGTGTTATCAGATTTTTCCACTCTTAATCTAAAGTATTGATTATTTTTCAAAATGATCCCCTTAATTTCTAACTGAAAAGTGCTGAACATTGAATAACCTTAGGATGGTAAAACACTCACATAACCTTAGGAAAATTATTCGTCAATTAGTGAAGGTAGTTCAAATATTTTTAAGATTGAATAACTTAAGTTTTGAGCCATTTTAGTATCCGATGTACTAATTGTCAGATTTATATACAATTTTCTCTATATTTTATCGTCTAGGTCTTTGGCTAACTGGAATGGATTGAACCTTAAATAGATATCATTTTTGGCGATTCCTTGCATCATGGGAGAAATCTGCCATTAATAATTGAGTTTTAGAAATTCCGAAGAATAATACCCACTTTGTGTAAAATAATTACATTGAGGATAAAGTGTCATTTGATCATCAATTAAAAATTAGTCACCTTTAAACGAAATTATATTACATAAGGGAAGAACGGTTGCAATTGAATCAGAAATTATAGTAACACTTATGTTTTAAATCTGCTGTCTTTAACCAGTTTCATCTGATATCTATACTTGGATTAGTATCTACTCATATTCAATATTTATCTATGATCTTGTCAAAGACTATTATGGTAGATTTAGAATGCAACTGTCAGCTGTAGTTCCTTTGCAGAAGTCCTGATTTTTCAAATTAGAGGGGCACACCCAAGTACAGATAAGATTTGTATTTGTGTTGTCAGGATCAATTGATTATGAAGCATCAATAAAAAGATTCTAAATCTCTGGCCATATTACTTGGTTTTAAATTTTAATAACGGATTTTAAGTCAGAGGCAAGAAGTTTTATAACAAATTCTATCTTTTTAGTTATTGACTTTATCTAGAAATCAGTTTCATCAGTCCAAGTGTATTTTAGTTGAACTATCATATTAATTTCATTTCTATCCTTAGGCAAATAGAGACCCGATTTAATATTCATACTCAGGCCATCTTAATCAGCGAGCCAGAACTTTATCACCGAATCTGTTGATTGCCATTGTATGTTATCTATTTTAATTTGATCACAATACAGCTTTGTGTTCAGCCTAATCGAAGAGGGAAATTGTTAGTCCCTCTTGATTTGAATGTTGTTATCAGTTTATTCAAGAGCCATATCAATACATTTATTGAAATCTTGTTCAACTATTTTAAATTGAAGCTGAGTGCTAATTTATTTTCTGTTTGAAGAAATAACTAGAGTTATGGTGAATTCAGATCCTATTGCATTTTGATTTCCATCAATTCTCATTTACTTTGAAATTTATAATGAAGATCCAGTTTATTAGCATTTGAAATTTATCGGACAACCCCAATTGAATGAAAAATTAGGCTGAACTTATAAATCTGGATCCTTGGTGTTACTCGCATCAATTTTTATAATTTCATACTATCCTATTAATATCAACTCATCCTTATAGTTGAGATTAGTTGCCAAAGGTGAAGCTACTTTTTAAATGTTCAATGTTTTGATTATATAATCATAATACTCATCCGTTTTACTGGGCCCAGTCTAAAATAAGTAAATAAAATCCAAGGTAATAGTCTAATTTATATGTAAATCCAAAACTGACTACCAAAGAATTTATTATTGCTGCCCAATATAATGATCTCTTTGATCAGATCTAAACATAACGAATATCCCTTGATAAACTTTAAGATCTTGACATTATTATGAATCAATTGAAACATCGAAATTGATATCAGAACCATTTTGATTGCTAAAAATCAGAGTAGGAGTATCATAGTCTACTTTAGGAGCACAGTTATCATCTCTTAAATTTTCTAAATCATACTTTAAGAATTTAATATCTAAATTCAATAAATCTTCGCTATTTTCATATTTACTATTTGAGGCACTTATAGCAAAGCTATAATAATATCCAATATAGGAGTTTAATTTCAATCTTGTAATAGGATTCAGCTTTAGTACATCATTTAATCCAAAGTCTTAATCATTAAGTTCAGGGTTAGCACTGAATTACCATTTGAATTCAATGGGATCATCTGGATAGTCTGAGTCATAAGATTTTGATGCATTTAATATCATTACCTAATCGAATTCAACTTGATTATTTTGAAAGTTTGTTTCTATTTAAATTTGAACTCTAGACTTTTATAGTACAATCCATGTGCTACTATTATACCATGTATCATTTATTAAAACCTTTAAAGCTACATTGTTGTTATATCCTGGCAAAATTTTCTACCTTAAATCATCTTTGAGATAAGCTATTAATCCATCCTATGATATGCTTAAATATGGAAATGTGTCTTCTTAGTTATCATAGATCCATATCACTCTATTAATAACGTAATGATCAACCAAAGTTTCACTATAATTTAGACTTGTTCTACAATCTAAGGATATGCTCGGTTAGAAAAGCATAATCTCCTAGCTTTTCTAAAAGTATGTATATTATTGCATGCTTGCATCTGGACAGTAATGAGACTCAATTTTATAGAATTAAAGGTTGATGAGCTTAGAATCAATATAATTCAAATAGTTAGAGCTAATCTAAAATTTGAACTAATAATTTGCATTTCTAATTATCTTCAAATCATTGGGGCTTAAAACCACCCTTCCAGTTTTAGAATCAGGTTGACATATATTATCTTTATCTTCCATCTCGTAAAACAGGACATCAGGACATTCTAAGCTGTATTAAATATCTTATTCATCGTAGTAGTCAACATTAAATATTGTCTAAGAAGGATCAAATAATACACTTTAAGGCAATTCAATTTTCTAACTAATTGGAGATAGCTAGAGATTAATAGGTTGACTTACTAATAGAATTGAGACATAGTCTCCAATTGTTTTTATTTAACCATTTTATTCATATCTAATGCTTACAGTAAGTTATAGATACTAGCTAATCCAGTTTAGTTTTGTGAACTAAATAGATTTATTATCACTTGATATATCGAAGTACGAGCCAGTCTATTCTTGTTCCCAGACTATAGTTTTAATAGTAGTAATCACTGAGCATTTATCTTAAATATCTAGATGCAATACCAAGTTTTATGGGCTCATTTTTTAATGAACTCTGATTATATGATTTGTGTTGTAAATTGGCTGAATTTCAACTATGGGACATTCTGGTTTTAATTCATATAAACTTGATAATGTTCTGTTATATCTTCTTATTTTAGATGAAATCTAAGCCTAAATTATATATGAAGCTTTTGCATCGAGCATATCTTCTAAAATGGTAATTTTATTAATGTTTTCTTAATCATTCTATTGCTCAATGTATTATTTTACTTCTTTGAAGTGTTATTCCAAGCTACCATTTCCTTCATAATTTAAGATATTCTTAAGCGTCCAATTGAATTAAAATAGGTCAAGTGATAATCTTTAAGGGATCAATAGATAGCTAAGTTTTGCAGTTAAAAGAATCTAATTCTCTCCTTTCTAATTCTCAGTAAATATCTTAAGAATCTCTATTGTGTAATCATCCTTCAAACAGCATTATGTTGGTTAATAATAAAGGGTATTTTCTGGACAAATTGTCAAATCCTCATCTATTACCCAGCTTATTGGAGTTGACTTCGAGAAGGAATAAAAGTCTAGATCATTAAGATTAGAAAATAGCTAAATGGATCTATCTCCGAGGCCTTAGTTGAGCTAAATTTGTGAAAACATTTATGTTCTTTCAAAGAGGGGTAAACTTTGATATCTAAATTTCTTAATTTCATCAAATTATCTAATAGAACCCCATACTCTTGTCTCCCTAATAAATCCTTTAAATGGTGAATTCTCATCTTGATTATTACCTAGAATTGTTTTTATAGGATTTTTATTTGGTAAATTTATCGTATAGGAATTAGTTCTAATTTAAGAGAACTCTAATTAGGTCTTATGATTAAATAGTATCATTTTTAGCTGTTATACTGATAAATCATTATTGCTTATGCAAGCCATATGAACCCATTAATTCCTTATATCTCCACTTAAGATGACAACTGAATCTAAGAAACCCTCAATCTTTTTTGTTTAAAAGTATGGATTGCATTCGACATAATATCCATTACTATATGCAATCTGAATGGCGATAAGGGGATTAGTAAGATATTAGTAATTAGTCATTATTGTTGCATTTTACTAGCCTGAATTGACAAAATCAATAAATTTAAACCATGTCTCAAAAGTAAACTGTCCATTAGAGGATACCATTAAATTTTGGACTAGACCTTTCCCCTATGACTACTGATTTATATTAAAGCCAACATATTTTCTCAAATCTTTGCAAACTATTCCATCAAATCCGAAACTTTCATCACTGAAATTACAAGGTCCCCTTATTTACTAAAATAAAGCACCTATAGATGTGAAATTGGCCATTGAATTGGTAAAATATCCTGATACTATTGGAATCTGTTTACTAACTTATGGAGACTCAAATTACTAAGTTGATATGAAATTGTCTCTGCTGAATGACTAATCAATGACTACTGTATTTTTATTTAGAACATATTTTAGGTTTAGTAGATAGTACTATATATTATGAACTCCGAATTTCAATATTTATGATTCTTTCTAATTGATTGAATTCAGTATAGCGTCAAAGTCTGATTTAGCAATATTGATTGAGAATTTTACCGGAGATTATTGTGTAAAGTCGTTAAGTGTTAAATTTAACTACTGAGAATTTATATCTAAAGTATAATTCATCCAGCTATTTATGAAAATAGATCTGTTAAAATTCTTGTTTTCATCCATATCAAAAGTGTAAGCGGTCTAGGATATAATGAATTGGAGTTTTAATTTTTGATTTATTAAAATTCTAAATACCCCTTCATGTTTAAACAAATCTATCTCTTTAACAGTGAGTAGCTCATGTATATTAATTGTAAAACTGAATTAAATAGCACTAATAGAGATTTTAAATTATTGATTGTCTAAGTAATGATCATCCAAGAAACTCTTTGAACTAAGAATCAAGTAATTAGATGACTAAGATTAATCACTCTCGCATTTACAGATCTGATCTGGCTCATTTTACTTATCAAATTGTATACTAATCTATGAATCTATATTATTTGTATCAATCCAATATTAATGGCCTAGATTTTATTCTAGCGATTGATATAGTATAATATGGGTATCTAGAGGTGAGGGGAACCGATGCAAGTAATGATCTTGATATGTTTTAAAATCCTTAAAACTGTAAGCTATGATGACATGTCTCATGTATCCATTGAAGTTATCTACACCAAGTTCGCACTATGGGATTATCTTATTCTCATCATACACTTAAGTGGTGAGAAATCTTTGAATCATATCTTAGTCTACAATATCCATTTCAGCCAATTAGATATCATTTATATTGAAGATGATTTTTGTTGCATTCATATATAGCTGGTAACTATTCCATTAATCAAATACTATTATATGATTTTTTTGATAATCAGAAAGCACTTTGTCATTACTTTGATAAACTTAGTCAAAAACTTAAAGTTTTAACTACACTATATTATCTTTATCATAGTCATATCCAAAGGATAAAAGTTTTTATAAGGGATTTGAGGGTTCAATAAAAGTTAATAGAGTGCTCTTAATTTTGTCAGAATCAATATACTTTGCCCATATTTAAAAATAGAGATCTTCCATTGAGCCGTGCATATTTTGATAATTTAAAAATGGAGATTTAAATCTGTATAAAGACAGTTCCGAAAGGTAGAGTGACTGAACGAATGTATCTTAATATCCATCATATTTTGTACCTATTCCCGCGGGGCATGTTTCATCGACCTAAGCATTTATGCAATTTAAAAGGCAGATGAAGATAATGCTAGAAAAGACAATCACCTTTCCGCTCCTTTTTTAAATTAAGGTTTTCATTCAATTTTGATTTTATATTTGTAATTTTTCTATTATTCTCTTCCAAATCTTTAATTTAACCCACTTGGGGTTTTGGGGTTTTGGGG